GGAATGGTGCGTGTATGTTCAAAATTAGGCAAATGAGAATAGAGAAGTGTGCGCTCAGTCATTGTCAGGACTAGTAGACATAGTTAGCCCGTCTGACTGAAATTAAATATTCTCCTTGAAAAAAAAAAGCGCTCGCGTCTATCGAAGCCATAGTCTGACAAACATTAGGAATATTTAATCGGAATTATAAATATCTTTTATACGATTATGATCGTTAGACTCTTGCCCTCCTTCTTCACTTTCTTTTGTACTTCTTCAATTTTGACATAGCAGGACTTCGTGTACTATATATGCGCGTATATGGACACATGAATATATACATACACATATATGCGCACAGTGCTTTATTAACACTTGACAATTAAAAATGACTGTCTTAGGCTTCGAACCAGTCAAGTGTTAGTTCGACTTTCAAGATAGAACGACATCACTGTTCAATTTTATAAAAAAGCATAGACTGTCTACTCAGCATGTTGTTTTCTTTTTATCAACATTCGCAACATGAAGAGAGAGGGATGGTTTTAATACTAAATGAAACAAAGATGAAGAAGTAAGAGAGAAAGACAAAGAGAGAAAAAACTGATTCTCTTGTACTGGTAGGCGTCTTGATCATACACACCTTTTTGTCATGTCACTGTACGTAAAGAGAATCGAGCTGATTGAAAATGTATAACGGTATATTAAAGAAAATAAAAGAATAAGAAGATTATCCAAAACTGTAAATTTTCACTGCCGGTCAAATAGTCCACTTCAATTCTTTTTTTTTTAACTATTTCTTTACTTACCATATGTACATTCAAGGTACCATTATTCATCACCTGCTGTCGATGTACATATGAAATATAGAATACGTCAAAATTATATAATCGTTTCAATTTGATTTTGCGATTCGAACTCGTCATCTTCTTTCTCGCTTTTTTTCTGTCTTTGCTTCATTTGTTACCGGCATACACAGAGCATTTATTCACCTACACTCTAAATGACAACACATGCAACAATGTCGTTTGATAGTCATCCTCGTCATACATTATACAGTAATCGAACTTATGCTTGTACGACAACAACATCATCATCATCACACTCATCTGTTATCAATCAACCATTTCATTCCTATTTAAAAACATTACCGACAATAAATATATGTGAAAATCGTCTCTATGACGTAACCATAGCTGGTGATGTTGGCTCAGCAACATCATCATCGTATATTAATAGTAGCGAACATTATGATAATACATATATAAATACATATGATAATCCAATACAATATTTCGAAAGTGTAAGTAAACGATTGAATGAATAAATGACGAAAACTGAGCGTGTCGATTGATTCATTTAGTATCCGTCAAAAACGATCGATATTGTCAATAGTAGTTTAAATGATCTTCCGCATTCAAATGAGAATTTTTACGATCATGCTGGTGGAGATGATAATGTTAATGGCTCATCGAATAGTTCTCGTAGTTCATCGCCTGTTCTTTTCTACTTGGAAAATAAGAATCTAGCAATATGTGCATGTATTATATCATTTCTTCTACTACTATTAATTGGCTTAGGAATTTTCCTGTTAAACAAATTAATTCGTCCCGTTATTATCAATACTACTGTAAACAATCATTATGGTATTATGAACATGACCAATACGACCACCACAATGTCAACAACGATTCTTTCAACAAGACCGACACCGTTTGTGATGGTATTACGAAGATCTTCAATTGATATTTTAACCACCACATCAAGTACGTCATCAATCGATGAGTATCCAGAATCATGTCCACCGAATCGGTGGGGAAAGACGTGTGAAAACATTTGCAAGCCATGTGGTCTCGGTGTATGTCAACTGACAACCGGCAAATGTCTTTGTCCAGCGGAAGTTTACGGAGAATTCTGTGATCTATGGAAAAGTAATTCGATAAATTTCTTTCATTCAATTTCATTGGTTTTCTCTTTCCATTTCAGTTAATGACAAACCTAAACGTGGCGATATGAAAAGATAATAGAAAAATAAAAAGATGTTTTCTCCTTTCGTTTTGTTATAGTGTATATATTTTTTTGAAAAAGCTTATTTGTTGATGTGTATGTGAAAGAATGAATAATTTTTATTCGAAAAAGAATACCGGATGTGAACGAAAGCATATCGCACGATCACAAGAACGCCAAGATTCGTTCTGTCTTTACAAAGCTTACATGCAAATCATTATAAACACATTTGGTTCAATTGTCGTTCTATTGTTCTGCATGTATTCAAAACAATACGATGATCATTGAAGTCATTTGACTATTGATTAGACTATTCATATCTATCTCTGATTTGCTCATTGATATTCGAAGTGAAGTTTTGTTATATCGTTTGTTTTTTGTTTGTCATTATTTGTCAATTATATGAATCTTAAATATGATTATGATGAGAAAACAACAACAAGAATATTAATGATAAGAAGTTTTTCTGTTTTGTCGTTTTCAATTATTCGAACAAGAATGTACCAGATTCAATTAAGCGAATTGTTACGATATAGAGAAAGAAAACACAGCTTCGGAGATGACCTTCTTTCTTTTATGAATTGTTTCGCTTGAATGAAGAAGATATGGAAAAAAAATGACAGAACGAATAAGAAGCCACTCAATATTTTGAATATTTACCTAGAATGATATACAAAGAATTGCATATGTTGTCATCTACTGTCTCATTTAGCACACTGGCATATTAATTAATGGGCCCATAGCCTTGTAACCGGAAGGTTTTCATAAGTATTTTTCTTATATGTTTACCTGTTAACATCTATAGACGTTTGCTTCATAATAGTACTGTTTTACATTATAAGCAGTAACAGTTAAACATTGTAAAGAAGAGAGAAACAAAAAAAAGAATTCTTCTTTAATCATTTTCAATGCTTAGTCGTCTATTATCAATAGCTGGGATTCCGTATCGAATTGATGAAGAGATAGGTCATGGTCTACACAGTGTTGTCTTCGGTGGATATGATCTACGCGATGGTCAAGCAGTCGCTATTAAAATAGTGAATTTTACTCCTGGTTTGATTGGAGCAAAAATGGATACGGAATCTCGACGACATTCTTATTGGAAAGAAGTTGAATTACTTCAATATTTACAAGATTTAAATCCATATGTAATTCGTCTGTTCAATTATGATTATAATGATCGTTATGGAATGATTGTTATGGAACGTGGTGGCACATTTCGTGACACTTTGATCGATTATCTTTTTGCTGGCAGAGTCATGACAAGTGCATCGATACAGAAGTTTTGGTCACAAATGGTCAAAGCTATTCATCATCTACATCAAATCGGTATCGTCCACGGTGATTGTAAGCCAGAAAACTTTATTCAAGTCGGTAAAGATGGTTCATCATTGAAACTGATCGACATGGGTATAAGTTTTCAATTACCACCATATGTTACCAGTCGTCTACACACAGCTGCTGGTACACCAGGTAAATAAACATGAAATCCGATGTAGAGATTGGTTGAAAATGATAATCAGATGTGTCGGAGTTGATTATGTTTGTTCTTCTTTTCTTTTTTCAATAGATTATGTGTCTCCTGAGATGGTCTATTCGTATGGTATGTCAGGTGATAAAGCAAAATTTGGTTATAAAGCAGATATCTGGGCACTCGGTGTTGTTTTATTCGAAATGGCATTTGGCTATCGACCTTTACAAGCACTAGGCGATAACGAGAGAAAAATCAATTATTTAGGACGATTACGTCGAGATATACACATACCTGATCATCCTGATAAAGACTTACGTGATATCCTTAGACGATGTTTACGTGCAAATCATCGTCGACGTCCCAACACAGAACAAATATTAAATCATCCATTTCTAACAAACCCTCGTTAATATTGTGATCTAGTTATTATGCGTAAATTTTTCACGAAAAAAAAAGAATGCATTTCTTTTTTTCTGATTCATTTCACTTATACATTTTATTTTCTCATCGTTTGTTTTTTAAAATTTATATTGTCATTATTTTAAATGTTCGATCTACGTACTCTAACTAACTGACTCATGATAGATTGGTACATATGCACAATATAAATCAGTGTACCCGAGAAGATGATGTAATATATACGAAGCAAGAATAGCACACCTAGAAAAAAAAAAGGAGGAGAGCAAGAACAAGAAGAAAAAACCTCAATTGAATATCGTTCAGCTCCTCTATTTATTTTTTCCCTTTGTTCAATATTGCTCTATCACCTACTGTCTATTCATTTTGTGCATACGCGTATACATATAATCGAACCGCATCCGTATATATCTCACTTTTTCGTCCGTTTGATTGCGTATGTATTTTGTATAAAATGATAGACGAAGCCATTCTCTCTTCTCTATGCGCTACGTATATGTTTAAATGACAAAGTAACTATCATCATATTTTTGACAGAACTCAACTTTTATCATGGGTGATATCATCTTACCAGGACGCCGTTTACATTTAAAACATGGGTTGTACACCATCGATGGCATGCTCGGATTTGGTTTACATTCGAAAGTTTATTCCGCACGTGATACGGATAGTAATCGATCGATTGCTCTGAAAATAATCGACTTAGAACATCAAAATGTTACTGTTCGAGCATCGACGATATCACGGCGACAAAGTTTTCAAAAAGAATTACAATATCTATTACGTTTACAAAGAGTGAATCCGTATATTGTTCGTATTTATGATTATGATATACAAAATTCCGGTGTTATTGCGATGGAACAAGGCACACCACTTCGATATTTTCTACCTAAATATCCCACTTCGCCGGGTGCGCAATTAACACCTCAATCTGTACATCGTTTCTGGTGTCAACTGGTCGATGGTGTACGGTTCTTACATCGAGCACGTATTGTACATTCGGATCTCAAACCTGAAAATCTTATCGTTCTACCAGATGGACAAATACGGATTATCGATTTAGGTATGATGTTGCGAAACAAAATCTTCATTTTCAAAATCTTCGGGTCTATTTCAGGTATCTCATTTACACTACCTCGAATGGTTCATTCGAAACGACGCGTATGGGCTGGTACACCTGATTATAGTGCACCGGAAATGCATAAATCAATGCCAGGACTTCCGCCAAAATATGGTTACAAAAGTGACATATGGTCACTGGGCGTACTTCTGCACGAAATGACGACTGGCTTTCGACCATTATTTGCATTGAATAGCAATTATGAAAAAATCCAGTATTTGAAACATTTAAATGAAGATCTTCCTATCGACAGCGCCGTGTCACCATGTGTTTTTAACGTAATGAGACAATGTACCCGACTCCAGCCCAAACATCGGCCAACAGCTGAACAACTCTCTTTGCATCACTATGTTGTACATGGATACTGAAAGACAATTGTATACGTTTATTTAACAGTATTAAAAAAGACAGTGTTGATAGATGATGATAAAATCTTCGAGTAATTGATGATGGTAGACAATGAAATATAATCACTGATGACAGATGATAGCACAATTTTCGACCCCCGTACAAAATGAACATATTTCTAGATATAGAATATCGATAATACAAATAATTGCAACGAGTCTAGGAAAAACAATTGAACGTGTTTGAACAAGAGTAGCTTTCGCAAAGGTGTGTTTAAACATATACAAGGCCGTTCGATGGATATTTCCAACAAATTCGAGATTGTTTTAATATCATTGAAACATTTCATTCCTTTTAATGAACAGAACAAGAAAGAAAAGAATCCGTGCAGCTAATCAATACACACACGCAAACAAATATACATAGAATTGCGAGCAATAGTACAAAAAAAAAGAAAGAAAGAAGAAAAATATGAGCATTTGCAGCACAAAAACAGATAAGATATCTATCCATTGATTTTTTTTTCATAAACAAGATCAAGAGAGAAAAAAAATATATATATATGAAGTTTGAATTTTGAATATAGAGCACCATTCGAGAATAAAACGCACACACATCAAAGTTTGGTTAAGAAATTCAAATGTACAGAAAAAATAAAAAATAGAGTACAAATGATTTTCATTCAATTACGACGAGAGACAAAAATAAACGAATTTCATTACAATGAAATCATTCTTTCTTTTTGCGTGAAAAATATATTAGCCGGTGATTGCAATCGACTAGAGACATATGACAAAATGAGGAGAGAAGAGCGAAGAAGAAATGATAAATTCGCATTGATATACTTGATATCACAAAACAAAGACAACCATTCAGATATGACAGATTACACACCACTATGAAAATTGATGTAATTTTCTGGTATTAAGCCAGTTTTCCCATTGATTGTACCCGTCACCTAAAGATAAATTGAAGGGAAACTTTTGATTACGTTCAGGGCGGAAGATATTTACCCATCCAGGTTCTTTTGATGGTCGTACTAAACGGAAATTTCGAGTGAGAAAGACTTTGATAGAAAGATTTTGTTTTTACCTTGAGTAACAATTTCATTGGCATTAAACGATAATTCCGAATCATTATCTGCTATACATTGATACAAAGTTACACCACGGTTCGATCTAAATTCGTACAAAAGAGGATTTTTCATTGGAAAAATGAAGATCTTTCCAACTAACATTCTTGTTGACATATTCGTCGTTTGTGGTATTGGTGTTGTTCTCAACGACGAAGATGTACTACTAATTGGTTCGAATTTCGATGACGAGAGACTGTTCGTCATTGATAAACGACTTGGATTTTCTGCTGACATTTGTCTTGGATATAATACCGAACTTGACGAGCGCGCTTGACTACTGAACAAATTGGAACTTTGCGCTGAATGAACACCGGCAGATGATGTATTACTTAACGATTCGAGACTACTACTAGAACTAGCTAAAATAGAGAATCAAACAATTACAATTAACATTGGATGATTTGTTGTATAGAAAGATATTTATCATTAGATCAAAGTGTTACATGAAGTCATCTTCGGATGAATAATAATAAACGATTAGGATGTTATGTAACTGAGAAGATATCTCATATTGACGAACAAACAGATCAATCTTCTTTATCTACTAGTTTGTTCTATGGAAAATCAATGAGAACTTACAATCTTTTCGAGTTATATCTTCGACTGCTGGTGTGTAGAGATTTTTGTTAGTCAGATTTGAATTGTAATCTGGATTACATAAACCACGCCGACGAGAATCACCTGCACTTTCCGAATTTTCATCTGTTGTTGGTGCTCGTCGAGTAATCGACTAAAATAAACGTTCGGATAAGCGAAAACATCTTTTCTACAAAGAATTTTATTCTCACTGCTAATGATGATAGAGAATTACTCAAGTTCACAACAGCATGTTCGCCATTTTCATTCGTTCCGACCATCTCATCGATATCTTGCTGTTCAAGTTTCGCTTTGAACATTTTCTCACAGTGAATAATAATCAATTCAACGATAGCATTACGAAATTTGATATCATAAATCGATGAAACTGTTTCTACTTCAGGTCGAAGTAATGATGGACCAAAACAAACACCTAAGTTCACAGGTGTCATCAGATTTTTATCATTATGTTTCGATACACTAGAAATGACATATTTCCATGAGTTTTGTGTTTAAAAGAACGACTTACTTATTCAAGTGTATCATTAGAATGTGTAGAAGATCATAGTTTGCTTTTGGTAGTTCTTTCAATAAACTATGAAGTGTTCGAATTCGTTCTGCTTTGTCGTCGACCACTGGAAAATGGAAATAGATCGAATGGAATGAAATCAACGAATTTGAATTCTTACTTGCTGCTTCGATAAATCGATTATGTAATTTAAATGTAAATACAGGCTCTTTTAACGTTCGTAGATAGAGTTTCAACGCAGAACAGACAGTTTTGAATTCCAGATCTTCATCAATCGGTGTGGAAAGTTTCTGTGCCAGTGTTTTGTGCGCATCTAAACAATGACAAAAACAAACACTTCAACACTTCTCCTCGTGAATTCCTTGTTACCAAAATGAGTTGCCACAACAGAATTGACTTTTGATTGCATACCAACAATACGATAAAGACCTTGTTCATGTAAACCCCGTTTTTCTACTACATGAATACATTTCTTAACAAAATCAATGCCAGCTTCGTCCAATTCATCTAATAAGTATCAATTTACATTCGTTGTAGTTCAAACAAAAAACTTCAGTCAGTACTTTGCATTTCACTCTTCGATGATATCTGTGGTCGAGATACATTGATTTGTCCTTCCATAACCGACACCCATCCTTCAAGATCTTCCTCATTCATTGATTGAAATGTAAATACAATCATTTTATCTGATGATGCACCTTTCTCAATAGCGTGAATATCAAACATAAATCGTTTATCGAGCTTTTCATCGGCTGGATGAACAACGCAGTGACGTACAAAGACATCGTACGGACTCAACTGAAAAACAAAAAATATTACAGTTTAACGAATCAATATTCTCCTCGTCGATTTCTCTTGTTCTATTAACATTTCTCGATTGATATTATTTACCAAACGAACTGGTCTTCAATGACAATTCTTCATTGAAAAAATTACTCGCGATATGACGTAAGGGCAATTGAATTGTACAGAATATGTCAATGATGATATTTTCATATGATATCATTGACGAGCGGAGAAGAAAAACAAAGACATTCTGCAAGATTCAAGTAACAGAAAGACGAGTAGCAGATGGAATAGTTATCAATCATTATTGTAGCTTCGATCCATTTCGGTTCTCTCTATTCGGATTAAATCGTGAGAAATGTCACTTATTTTTATCTTTTCTATTTTGGCATTTTCATCAAGATAATAGTTTCCATTCGTCAAACGATTACCTGTTTTGTACTTGTTTGTGTGAAGTTGATCATTCGCAAAAGACCAATATCTTTTCGATATTGACAGTAATACTTGGTTAATGCTGTGGTACCAATCAATTTATCTATAAGGAAAGAGGAAATTTCAAGAATAGAAGACGAGGTATTTGTCGAGATATTTGATATACTTCGTTCGATAAGAAATAAGTAACCTTCACGATTATATTCTTGATTTCGTAGTAAATGATCTTCTGGTCTCTAGAAGGAACAACAATTTCGACGATAGTCGAGAGCACATTTCGTACACTTACCATTAGCATTTTCCATTTCAATTCTTCACCTTCACGTTGAAAACAATCAAAATTTTCTCGGCACTAATTACAATTGTAAATAAAAGAATTTCTTCGAACATCTCCCTTACTTTTAACACACGATGGTGTAAAAATCGAATGAAATAATCGAATTCCTTATAGATTTCTTGTCCTAAATAAGACAAACTTGAATATCCTTTTTCAAATTATCTTTCGCTGAGATTTACCTGCATGGTAAAATGACAGAAAGTTGAGCATCAATGCCAAAAGCTAAAAGAGAATCGATTAGTTATTCAAATTTCGCGCTAGATCTTACCGTTTCAACAAAATCAAATTTCTTCCGTTCTTGTACTTGTTGCAATAAAAATACGTAATCTAATGTCTCTTCACGAAATTTCTTTGTTTGAATTTGTAGATTTGCGTCAGCCTGAACAATCTCGTTAGGAAGAAATGTCATAGAATATCGAAAGAAATCTTACTTCTTGAAATAAATCTGATCGTTTAGTAGGGATTTTCATATTGTTTTCAATCATTGCACAATAACGTTGAGTAGTTTTGTCAAATTCTTTTTTCTTATTCTGAAAACGAGAAAAAATTCACTCAATAGCAGTTCTATGCTGAACAGAACGAACTTTGGCTTTTCCAATGGTTGTTTTTCGAAATTCATCCAATTTTTTTAAATAGGTTTCCGATGATGCACTCTAATTCAAACAATTCATTGATTTGAAGTGTTCTTGAAGAAAACTTAACTTACTAATGCATCTCTTGCTTCTTCGATTCGATGCAGAACTTCACCCATGTATGAAAGCGATGACTCTATTTGAGAGAAAGGCGTTTATGAAGAGAATAGAAAATCAAGCGTACCGATATCTCGTTCTTCATCCGTTTGTTTACTGCCGACAACAAAGAATTTAAAACTTTTCAATGTTTCGGCAACACTTCGTGATGCTTTTGATAAAGCTAGAAGAAGAATATCGAATATTACTTTTTGAAAAGAAGAAAAAACATGTATTCATTGGAGAATTACATACTTTTATTCGCAACCATGACTTCATTTAACTTTTTAATCAAAGTTTTTATTGCATTGGACGTGTTCTCAAGTTCATTCTCATGTTGGCGTAATTTTTCGCGAAATTCAGGCGAATCTGTAAGCGCTTCGGTAAATTCAAGAGGTGGTAATTTTAGTACCATATTAGTGTGTTAACAGATATCTAAGTAGTTGTTTCAAACAAAGAGAATCTTTAAAGTAAATAGAAAGAAGACGCGAAATAATAATAATAATAATAATAATATACAAAAAGAGGAGAAAGAGCTACAAATATGATTGTTATGTTCTTTTTCTCACGTTTCTCTATGCATACTGACAGCCCGCAAAAGAATCTTTGTGTGGGTTGTGCACATTCGCTGTCGATGCAATGGAGGATAGGGTTAGCAAAAAGTTGAAAGGAAAGAAGAGAAATTGCTGTCTTTCTCTCTCTCTCTCTCTTCTTTTTCTGTACAGTGATGTAGCTCGTCTTTGTCTAGTAACAACTATTGCTTATATTTACGTTATCACAGACCCCGTTTGGCTCTCGTTCGCCCGTTTGCAAAATGAAGAAAAGAACAAATGGCACAGTAGTCGTTGTGGATATGTGTAGTAATTATGGACAACAAGCCGCTTGTTGCTATCCTATGACGATCACCACTTTCTCTCTAACTGTTTCTTAACCCGCAATATGCATCTGTGTGTGTGTATATATACACTAGCATCATTGCATACCGAGCTGTGCTTTTCAGATGGCACTGCATCTTAGTTATGCTTGTCTTAAGCTTACTTTAATCGACATATCATGTTGATTTTGCACACACACATCCAAATGATTATTAGACGATGCTTATGCTAGCGAAAAGAAGACAGAGGGAGAGAGAGAGAAACTTCTACTTCTATTGCGATTATTGCTGACGTCAGATATGGCCTCGTAGTGCGAGTTGGACGCGCACGATCTGTCTGCTGTTTATATCTTAAGATGGCAAGGCCACCCAGACTATTAGACAAATTCTCACAACTACCATCAATTGAGATCGACGTAAATAGATAGCTTTCTCTCGATAAATTTGTTTTTGGCAATAACATACAGGATACTGTCATATGTAGCTAATCGAATTGTTTACTTATCTTGACCATATATATATATATTAAGGTACAATCGATACACTTCGACAGATACTTCGCACAATTTTTTGTTCTGTTGCTTTACATGTGTAACGAACATGATTCGCTGTTGAGAGTTAAGTGATGATGACAGGATACTTAACTTGCTAAACTATAACGATCGATCTGAAATAATGTTTCTGTCAGAAAAGACAAAGTACGAAAAGTGACGATGAAAATACGCAGTGGATATTTTCTTTTCTTTTCTCTATCGACATGAATATATCGAGAGATGCGTTATGTTATCGTAATGACTGAAACTATTGCCAGTAATACCGTTACTCATCTGCATGTCATAGATACATAATTATAAAAACTGCCCTAAGAAAAGAAGAAAAACATCGTAGAAATCAACTTATTTTGATTCATTTATCCATTTATACAGAGTAAAATCATGAGAACAATATGATTATCGGTTGTTATCAAATGTGAGATCTCGCACTGATAAGAACAGTGAAATGAATCAGTGAATCACTCTGAATTCTTACAGGAAGAATTCGAATTTAAACAGTTAAATCACGTCAAGTCAAGTAGATGTTGTCGCGTCGCGTATGAAAGAACACCAAACCCCAAAGTTGACTGAAGATGGTTGATGATTCATCGTCTATACTTATTGTATAGAATTACGTCAACCAATCAGATTACGTGTTATATAATTGGAAAAAATCTCGAGAAAAATCTCGATAATTAATTAGAATATTTTCTCAGAAGTTTTCGAAAAATTCACCGAGTGTTTTTTTCAAATCAACCAGCTCGATATTCATAAATGCTTTTATTTTGATTGGAGGATCAATCGACATCATTTTACCTTTACTTATTCTTCATTTATAAACATATTCAACATTATATACACGTTATTTGAAATCTTCTATAAATATTCAATACTCATCTGAGATAAATTTCGATTGCATTTTCTTTTTCTAGAGAAAAACAAAACTTCGATCATGTCAACTCCTTCGGCTAAGACTGCATCAGCAGGTAGTAAAACAAAAACATCAACGACGACCACCACTGTCGTTAAAACGACAACTACAACAACGAAAGCACCACAACAAAAGTTAGCTACTACACTTGGTGCTGGTGCCAAAGTGAAAAAAGCTAAAACAACACCTAGCGGCAAAAAGGCCATCAATGCTCATTCCAACCGCGAATTGGGCAGCAATGGTTTAATGCGATTCTCTCGTGGTCGCATGTTCCGTCGACGTGCTTTATATCGTATCGACAAATGGAAAGGTGCTCAAGCTAAATTGCAAGGAGATAAAACAAAGAAGACAGCCGGTAGCATTCAAAAGAAAAAACAACGTAGATCGACGTTGACTAAAAAACCAGTCGGTGGTGATCGTAATGGTAAACAACGTCTTGTTCAAACAAAACGAACTGTAAGAAGAGATTGTCTGTTAGAGATCATATCTGATTGTTTGGATTTAGCCACGTTATTATCCAACTGAAGAACGACAAAAGAAGTTCAGTGTTAAGCGAAAACGTTTCGGCGATCATCCACGTCGTTTTCGATCAACACTTACACCTGGTTCAGTCGTTATTCTTGTTGCTGGTAAACATGCTGGAAAAGTAAGCGGAAACTTCATTGAAAATTTCTTTCGTTTATCGGTTCGATCTTCTAGCGTGCCGTAGTCGTTAAACATCTATCATCTGGACTCTTATTGATCACTGGTAACGATATGATCTGAAATTGAACTGTCAAGTGTCTTCTTTTTCACTTGCTTCAGGTCCACATAAAGTAAATGGTGTACCACTACGTCGTATAAATCAAATTTATGTCATCGGAACGAGTACTAAACTTGATCTCTCATCAGTCAAAACCGATGATTTGGATGATAAATTCTTCAAACGTGTTCGATTAGCCAAGAAGAACGCTGAAAAGGATATCTTTGATTCGAAGAAAGAAGTAAATTTTTCAAACATTCCAATAGTTCGATGTTCATGATGATTGAATGTTTAGAAAACTCAACTTAGCGACAAACGTCGCCAAGCTCAACGTGACATCGATACAGCCGTTCTTGCTGCTGTTAAAGCACATTCCGACTCACGTCTTCTTCGTCGTTATCTTAAAAGTCGTTTTCAACTCTGGAATGGTGTTTTGCCACACAAGTTGAAATTTTAAGATCACAAATCCGAGACTATCATTGGCAAGAATAAATTCAAGTCGAATTACATACCAACTACGTTTTTCTTTTCGTTGTTTTTCGTTTCGGTTCCATCACAAAAACATATTTTCATTACTTGTTTTTTTCTATCACGAGAAAATATGACAAGAATAAAGATAAAATAAAGAAAACAACATCTAGACTGCCATTATTCACATATAGATTATCATGTGATCGATGTCAGTTCTCTTTCTTTTCTCATCAACGACTTTGTTTGAAAAACAACAGTCAATACCCTTCATCATTCACTTAATGGAGCAAACACTTAGAGAATCGTACATTGTATTACTTTCTTACGGCTTTTTCAACTTCTTTTTTTTCTTTCTCATGTGTCTGTTGAAGAGAGCGTTAGCATAAAACGCAAGGTGAGACGAATAAGTGAATTTGAAAGACATTCAAAAATATTTTTCAATCATGAACACGATACATCCCTTAGGATCTCTACCAAAAATGTTTACCATTCGACAGCGGTTTTCATTTCATGAACTTCGACCCGTTAGTCTAGTTAAATTAGAACGTGGCATTCGACAACGTTCATTACTCTACTGTTTGGAGAAGGGCTACTTTACATTGATCCAGTATTTACTGCAATCAAATGTGTGCGATGCTCGCGAACGTGATAGTGAGGATCGAACAGCATTGATGTACTGTTGCTTTATTGAAAATAATAATTGGGCCCAAAATATGGCGATGATTTTACTAGAATACGGTGCGAAAATTGGTGACCAAGACCAACGAGGTCTCAATGCTTTACACTATGCTATTATAACTCAACGGATGGTCCTCATTCGACACTATCTTGCATCGATAGATTTCAATCTCAATCAAGCAATAGACATCAATGGAAATACATGTTTGCACTATGCTGTATCGACGGGTGACTTGGACATCATTCATTTGGTGTTAAATGCGATGAAACGTTATTCAGCTGATTTATCAATGAAAAATCATTTCGGTTTAACGGCATATGATATTGCTTGTCAGCAGAATAATGAACGTTGTCAAACATACTTACAAAATGAAATTGCGCACTATGAACAGAACAAAATACCATCAACACCGATCTACGGATCGCCTTTTAGCTTTGAACCTATAATGGATCGACATTTGTCAGCATCGTCGCAAACATATTCGAGCATATCGAATCGAGTGCGGACGGCAACACCAGCAACGTATAGACACACACGAACGGTCAGTCCACTGTCACTACGGCCAGCTTCAAAGAGTCCTAGTAAGCCATCAGCCAGCCTATCAACGCTTAATAATGAAAATTCCGCTTCTCGTTCTTCAATTTTAATTGATCCGATTGAATCACGTAATATCATACTTCGACGTAATAAGACTCTCGATTTATCACTTCTGAATCAAGCGAAAAGTTTAGCAAATTTAAAAACAACATCAACCACTAGTCAAAATGAACATTTCTCAGCTTCCTCTTCAACATGGCGCGATGATTTTACTAAAATATTCGATCGTTTTCAAACACTGAAAACTCCATCCTACAGAGAAACAATTCATCCGCCGTTAAGTACTGAGATACCAAGTGACATATATCAAAATTTTTACGGAACAAACGATACATTTCGTAGTGAGAACGGTAATTTTCAACCTATGACACTACCCTCACTAGATTCTTCACAGAAATTTAATCGACGTCGAAGTAGCGTTATCAATGCTGGTATGAAGTTCATGTCGAAAATCAAAAAATAAAACTTCTCGGCATCGGACAGGGACAAAACAAATATGAATTTGCATTTTATTCTTTTTTTTTGTAATTTCATTCGTATGAATAAATCGCAGAACATTGAACTTCGATAATTAACCGATACGATGGCAAGATGAAATATTCGAACGAGTTCTTTTCTGCTATTTGATTTAACCGAATGCAAAAGCTAAGATTCAATTAGCGAAAATGTTCGCCTGAGGTTAATTGAATTCTTTTGAAAGAAAAAAAAATAGAAAAACAAACAACAAAATTTCATTCGAAAATATCAAAATATTTCATCTAGAAATACACTTCGCTTGTTGGTCTTAGTAATGTGATTATCGACAATGAACGAAACACGAACATATACAAAATCGGATCAAGAACGAATCGCAGCATTTGAATATAGAATATGATTGATTTTATCATAGGTTGATGTTCAATTGGAACATGAATGGAGATTAAGAGTAAAATGTTACATAATGTCCAAATCAAGATGATCGACGAAGCCGATTGGAATCGTTTTTGTTGTTCATAAATCAAACCTTGCTGATGTTGATCGATTTTGAATGTCAATAGATATTTAATTATGCGCCGTTGAATACATTTCATTTGACGATAATGTGTCAAGATTAAAACAGAGTATGGAATAAAACATGTGAATGACAAAACAAAAAATGTATATGATAAACGAAATATATAATTAACAATGCAAATTTCGAGAATGGAATCAAATCGGATCGACGCCCACTCATCCGTTATTGTCGGCCAAGTGAAGATACATATGTAGACGAACAAAACGAATAAAATCACGCATAAACGACGATAGGTTATTGTCTGCCAATATTGATTAAATTTAAAACACAAATACCAGAAAAGTCGAATGGTAATGGTTAAATTCAAATGAAATAATGTTAAGACATGTAGAGAGAAACTTTGGACAAGACATAGAGTTGTCGGATATTGGATAGAGTTTGGATAAAAAATAGGATATAGATAGATGATCAAACACAGCCAATTGACGATGAGAAGAGATGTAACTAGAAATAGACCAAATGATCGGATGGTTCGAATTAGCATGGTTTCCGATTCGAGAATCATATGTGATAATAGCGATGATGACGATGAAGAAGATGTGGAAAAGATTTTCTTCTTCAGACAAGGTCTGGATGTCTCAAGTTGAAGAACATCGGATGATGATTGCTCAATATCCAATGATAAAGTTGAATTCAAGTTGTTCTCAGTGGTATCTGTTAAAGATTTGGAAATTTGGAATATTTGCCAATAATTATGATAAACAGTTGTTAGAAAGAATAGAATGTGAACACAAAGATTGACAATCAAATACAATATGATCGTCATTACAATTGATCTCGGCAAACCCGTTCGAGTTGGATTTTCAATTGAGTCATTCGCACTTGACGACATAGCAATTTCTTACCTATATCTTTGAGAAAATATCGGTTGCAAACGATCCCATATGTGTTAATAATATTCGATTGCAGAAGAAAGATAAGGAAATAAATGCAAGAGAAGAAAGAAATAGAAGATCACAAAGTGCGTTTCTCCCTATATATGTGTTTGTGTGTATGTAAGCATGCATGTCGTTTGTACGCCTCGATCATATAGCTAGTCAGAAGAAAAGGAAAAGAAAAGGCAGAACAAATAAAAAATTAATTTCCCTCTATGGAATCTAATCTGCATGATGTCTCCTTTTTTTTCCCTACTGTTTCAATATAGTCATGTTGTTTGCAATATTGATTCGAGTTGCTCGAGAAAAAAGAAATCCACATCTTGTTTCTGTACAACTGTTCTTGTTTCGAGACATCCTTCTCGTCGTTAGCAGTACTAGTTTGCATCCAGGAAATCAGCAAATTAACGGAATTAAATGAAAAAATAAAGCATCCACGCCTAACAAAAATCTCTGTTTAGCGAAAAAACAAAAAACTCAAAGAAGATGCAAGTCTTGTCGTCAAGGAAGGAATCAATTCGGTTAATTATGACTATTCGAAATGTCTTTGATATAAACAAGACAACTGAATATGCTTGTTCGTCAATATTATTCAGTAATCTGATATATTTACATTGATTTAATCGATCTTTTCCGATTAAACAACTCTCGTGTGTAGATAATAAACTATGTTTTTCTTTGATTCATTTTGCGTTTTATCGAATCAATCTTGTTTTTTTTTCGGAAAATATCGAGTGATTATTCAATAATCAGTTACAATCTCTTGACAAATACACAAGAAAATCAAGACATTTTTTCTTCATCTTTAGTTTGTCAAAATAACCAAATTCTTTCGAACTATTTTTATCTTGAAGAATGGCCTGACAATACCTTGGCCGTACTACTATAAATAATTTTCATTGGCATCTGGATGTAAGTAGATCGATTGATTGATGATATAGATTTTTTCGTATTTATTTCCAGAAATTTCTTCTACTTATGCTAGTTATCATCTTGATGGCTTTGTAGAACATAACAAATGTAGCTACACGTACAAGACATGATCATTTTTGCATGAGAAGAAAAAGCTAGTTTACGAAGGTTATTTTTTTTTATGAATGAATCGCAGAAAAACATTGTTTGTTGGCTAATTAATGTTTTACATTAATTAACTTCGACTACGTGATCGAGAGCGGGAACGAGATCGAGATCGGGATCGAGAACTGAAAAAATAAATACGATGAGACATATTTATTCAAAAAGAAAACATTTTCTTACGGAGAACGTCGACGACGGCTGCCTCGGTCGTAATTTGAACCTCTCCTACTATCATTACGATTACCACCTCGTCGACTTTCTCGACAATCACGAGACATATGACCAGTTCGTAAACAATTATAACATTGCATATTATTCCGATTACCACCGCCATTCTAATAATTCCAGAGGAGATAATTGAAAAAAAAACACAAGAATCATTTGTTCTTACTCCTGGTGGTCCACGTTTGGATGATCGTGCCCATTGAACAATTAAGGATTTACCTTGATGTTCTCGACCATTCTCTCCATTGATCGCAGCCTAAATATCAAAGAAAACTCGTCAGTAATGCTTAAGTATATCTTCGATTGGTTAGGAAAGTGTGCACGAAGAAATGCAATCGAAATAATGATTTTCTCATATAACCCGACATACCTTCTGATGTCACAGTAATGAAAAACAACTCGAAAAATGAGGACATATTCTGCGGATGTATGGAATATCACCACCATTTCCCATTAAAATGTTTCTATGAGATGTTACATATTGTTCATCAAATAGCAATGACTCGAAGATGTGCGTGGAAAGTACAAAAAAAGAGGGCTCAGAGATGCATGATATGACTCTACAAAAGAACAAAAATGTCGTCATTATATATTCATATTTCTTTGGTAGATTTTTTTTTCAAAAGTTTTTTCCTTGACATTACATACTTCGGCATCAGAATTTGACTCGAATTCAAGAAAACCATAACTCGAGGCGTAATCTACATTAGAAGAAAAAAACAAGGCACTAGAAAAGAATAAACAAGAATTGATACCGTACTTGATGCACCTTGTTTCAGTTCACACCGAATGATGCGTCCATAGCTTTCGAAGATACTAATAATTAAGCGAAATAGATTTAGGTTTTCCTGAAATAACAAATTTACTCTTCAAGATCTTTTTTGGAAATTTCACGAGCAATATTTCCAACGTACACTTCAGCTTGCGGCATTGATGCAAAACACGTTTGTTTATTTTTTTAAAGAATAGATAGTTTGAAGTGAAGGTGCGTATGAGACTTGTTTCCCTTTGTACCCTTGGAAAACGTACGTACTAAAATAAACTTTCTATTATAATTAACGTATAAATTTTGTCATTGACTTCAAAAATATCGACCAAAGAAAGAAAATCAACAAGAAAAAACAAACGTATCAGAACCATTTAACGAAAAATCTTTGTTATATACAAAAAACAAAATACACTATGTTCCGAGAGATGTCGTTCTCAACTGATTTTCACACTCGAACAAATTTTCTTAAATGACGGCAAAAGACACTTACAGACATGTGAGAAAGATCAACACGAAGATCTCATCAAGAATTGGAGACTGTTTTCTTGTCATAAACAGAACTATCGCAGTCGGCGGACCTCGATGTTTTTAAAGAGAAAGAGTATAATAGATTTGCTGGTTCAGATTTACGCCTGATTATACTGCATTAGTTGAACTATACTCGTATTCCTTCGTCTGTAATAGATGAATTTTATATTATCTACGTATAAATAGCATACGATTCTGATCGAAATAACTTTCGTACACATCGTATTCTATTCATATTTTAACATTCAAATAATGACAAAGATAGAAATTTGTGAAGGCATTATAATTTAAATTAACAATTTCGTTTTATGTTAGATGATCGTCATATCTTATGGATTCTGCTTCAATAATACTTAGACATTTACTGAACCAGCATAATGTGAAGTTTTTATCGACTAATTTAATTCAATTAAATACTAACGTATAATTCATACGAAAACATTCGATCCAGTACATTCTTGTAAGAGATAAAACCATATTTTCAAAATCAATCAAATCTCTGATGACTAGTCTCTGTAGTAGTCATTGTGATAAGTGTATTCGTACCGCGTTTTAGGAGAACAACCAAATCTCGGTGATTAGTCCTCGGATTTTGGCGCGAGTATGAGTTCCTATCTAACAAAATAAATGCGCCTTTCAAGGCTCAGATAGTTTTCTTCTTAATAAGGTCGAATCATCATCATCACCATGGACATTTTACTTAACTAACTAACAAACGATTCTTTATCGCTACATTCACAGATAATAAACAAAGACTGAGATTACTCGCAATGGTACATAATTGTGCAATAATAAGTTGTCCACTTCATAACCGACGAAATATACGTAAAGGTACAAATTGATACTCACTCTTTGCATCGAATTGTATTGTAATTTCTAACCAGGACTTCTTTTTCATTCATTTCCTGTTGATCAACATCGATTTGAATTATGGCGTCAAACTGTAATCAATCATTGTTCCCAAACACTTTCGATAAATAGACATTCGAAAATTTGCTACCGACATTTCCATCCAGAAGACTACATTGCCAATCACACTGGATTGACACGATATTTGAAAGCAACAGCTATCCCAACGATTTTTACTGAAACAAAATCCAATTCGAATTTGTCCGATGATCACAACCACGTCATTACGTTACTACCAGATTTGGGTATCAATCGAAAAGTACCGACACAAACGGTCACATCGTCATCTCTGCCAATGTTACCCTCGAATTCATCGTCGTCAGAAGCGACATCAACACTTACTGATACCAAAGCCAAGCGACTTTTAAGTACAATAGATAAATTACATCAAATTCAAAATGCAAATAAGAGTATTACAACATCGAAACTAGGTTTTGAACGTAAACAAACAAAAGAGGATGAAGTTGATCATAATCTTTCCTCGGATGATTCAGTGCAATTATCCCAAGTATCTATGATCGATCATAAGAGTCCGAATCAAAAATATCAAACAACAACTCGTACGAATAAATTCTGATTGATAGTTTCATTGTAAATCTTGTCTTATGTGGGAAATCTCTAGATGAATCAAATCAACAATCTTCTCGGGAGTCAGATTTCTATCGAAGCACACAACATGCTGTGATATCAACACCCAAAACTCATCTTGAAGACGCTCTATTCAAATTTCTCGAACAAGCAAATCTTTTACAATACTATTCAGCTTTTATCGAACAAGGTTTCAGTCATTTTCGAACAAAAGATCAAACTATATCAGTCAATTTTGTTAGGCGGTGATGATCTCAAGCAACTTGCAGAAGCGCAAAATGATGATTTCCAAGAGATCATTACTCTTGTTGGAATGGCCTCGAAACCACTACACATAAAACGATTTAAAAAAGCCCTGAATGATTACCGACAGTCGATGGGTGAGATTGAAGTCAATCATTCCTATTCACCAAGTGCACGAGGACCATCATCTGATCGACATTCAGTGGAAACGAACAATTCAATGAAACTCCTCAATCACATATCGTCAGAGTGGAATGTAAGTATAACGTTTATTTGATTTTCAAAAGTAAACTATTCATCTAGACAATGGATACGTGTAAAACCAATAATACTCATCAACTATTGGATGACAGCCAGCGAAAATTGATTGCTGACGAAGCGGAACGGTTAGCGAAGTTGTTGCCATTGACAGCAATAAAACCATCCAATGGACGAAGCAATATTTCAAAAGACTTATTTGTAGGACTCCTGTGTAAAGATGACATTGCATGGATTTCGTTTCTCTATAGACAACAATGAATTTACCAAGAGATTTTGAAGATCGTTGGCAACGTATTCGAAAATACTCGGCGATTTGTAAGAATTTTCTCGAGATGCTATTTTTGAAGGTTTTCATCCAAATTAGATAATCGATTCGATTCGAAGAGGCCAAACGAACTCCTGAGTTTAAATGAAGTAAATTGCCCACTGAACAAGAAAGTTTTCTGATGATTCCAGCGAGAAATAACTTCTAGATCTTAATCAATGAAGCAGCAGCTGCTATCTGTTTCCACCGGCCAGGTTTTTCCTTCGATAATTAATCGATATTTACTTGCAGTATTCCTGAATTTAGAATTTCTAACTCGTCGCGATGAGTTATTGCACCTAACTCGGCGTGTTCTTCAAAACATTGGCATGACGAACAATAATATTCTCAAACGGTAATATACCATTCGCTTCAATTTTCTTCATAAGGTGAGATCGATCACTTTACATAGACCATTGACCGTGTTGACTTGTGATACAACACCAGCCAAGCAGTTGAAACTGAATATACCGTTAACAAAGTCAACGACCCGGCAAAGAGATCCAGATACCTTTCGATTGATGTGGCATAATCGTGAAGTAAGTACCGTAAAAGAAAAACTTTCTGCTTAACCGTTTGAGTTCGAAGGCGAAAGTTGAACAAATTCCCATCGAAATTGAAGCACTTCGTTGTGAGCAGAATAAACTATTACAACAATTAAAACAAAACACAATGGATCCAGCATCGTCATCGCTTGAGAATAGTAATATAAAAAAACAAATCGATGAACTAAGTAAAAAAATCGAACAACTCAGCGATGAAGAGAAAAATTTACGAAGATTAATTCGAAAGAAGAATATGCGGTAATTCAGCACTGATTTCTTCCATTCACTGTTCTCATCTTCTTTCCAGTCTTCGTGCTAAAGAACGGCAACAACAGAAACTTCACATGTCTGAAAATCATTCATCAACTCTCCAAGATCTAATGGCACCTATTCTACCAATAACTCCACCGGTACTTTCATTTGCGGATGAGTTCGAACAAAATCAACAAGCATCTTCAACGCCAATATCCGATTCTGTCAACAATGACGCTTTTCAAACCATCAATATCAAAGAGGAAAAGGTTGAACCATCAACAAATCTTTCGTCTCCGATTTTAAAATCAAGACAAGATATCTCAAGTACTAGCTGTTTAACTAGATCCATCGAACGACGTCGGGAAGAAATTTATGATCGAACGATTTTATTCAATCAGAAATTAAATACTACGATGGATAAATCCATTCGTTCGACGCAACGACAACAATCATCGCCCATAACAAACCTTCAGGCTGTGTTAACTAATAATTTGCATACCGATAGTCAAGCTGATCATTTACCAGTTATTGAAAACGAAGAAGACATTATCGAAAGCAAAAGTTTCATTCATAATCTAGATTTTAATATTGATATTCTTAAAGGGAAGGAATAAATAAGCTGATTATTAGATGAAACAGTAGTGTGAAATTACTAGAACACTAAAATGATCTTAATTGGATGACATCAGAGAAGAGTACGTTTGAAGGAGAACGATTATAGTTTGTGTGATACACTTCAAGCGACTTGCTTACGAAAACAAGTGATAAATAAACGTAGCTATTGCTAGAGTCATTGCATAGAAAATATTTATTGTTTTCGAGTTTGTAATTTTGGCTAGTTACCTTTTGGGTCGCTTTAATTAAGCAGATAAACAATCATTTTCGTACTAATGTTCGTAAGGATGCGGTACATATACGCAGCAGCATCTATGATGGTTATAATACTAAATATCGAGATCGTAGAAAGACTGGTTCTCAGTGATTGTGCTCAGAGAATGATAATTTCTAGATGGCGGTGGTAGTTGACGTGTTGTTTTTCTTTCTAGTGAAACGTGTATTTACTGAATCCGCTTGTCGCTAGTTTGATGTTTACCAAATGATTGAAAGAAGCGAAGGCGAAATAAAACACATGAACGTCAAATACACTTCATCATTTCATTTTGCTCTTAATGTCCACAGGATTTCTTCTATTTTTAGAACACTAGAAATTATGTCAACAAAAGCTATTTATGAAGCAACCGGTAAAAAACTTTTAAACAAGTATCTTGGTTCAACTGCAGCTGAATGTCGCTGCGTAAGCGTTGATGCCAATACTAACTGGAATGATCTCATCGCAAATAATCGTTGGTTGGAAAGTGAGGTTCGTAAATCATGGTTCCCTATTGATTTCAAAGGCCTGAAAAGAAACGAAGTATTTTGTTCTTCATTGTAGCGATTAGTGGTTAAGCCCGATCAATTGATTAAGCGACGTGGAAAACTTGGTCTTATCAAAGGTGATGTCGCTATTCAAGGGGCAAAAGATTTTATCT